CTACGTTAAGTAATTGAACATCAATTATTGTAAAAAGTGAAGGTGCACAATTGAAACAAAGGAAGTGCATGTAAGTTGTGTAAAATAACTCAAATCAAAATCCTGAGTGAAAAAAGTAAAGAAACAAAAAACATAGTTTATGGACATGAATGATAACAGGCTGTGATAGGACATGAGGAGGGACGGAGGGAGATGTGACGTTTAATGAGGCCTACATTACATTAATATTTTTCTCTGAAGTTTGATGATGAAATAAACGCTTAAAGAAATGAAGGGTAACCCAAGTGGCAGAAGATGCCAAGATTATGTTCATAAATAAATAGTGGTAGATATTAAACAATCTTGGAAAATCTCAGTGAGAGAACGTATTATTAAGAAAAATTGTCCCTATCAGTGTTTTTTTTACTAAAATTGTTGTTGATTTTGGATTCATCTTATTGTTTCATTTATTTGTTTGGTGCACTTAAGTTTTAAGTTGATCTATATTATTATACATTATATTATATATATTATATATTATATATATGTACTGTGTATATAGTATACTTGAAAAATCTAATCTGTTGCAGTGGATCATAATCTGTAAGAAAATCACATTTGACAGAAGTTTTTGGAAGTAAATTTAGTAAATAAAGTGGGAGGATGGGGCGCTGGTGGCTTATGGGTTCGTGTGCTTGCCTGATGTACGGAGGCCTGGGTTCGAACCCAAGCTGTGGCTCCTTAACAGAATGTCATTCCCATAAAAAAGCCCAAAAAATTTATCTAAAAAAAGTGGGAGGAAAATTGTCACATACAATAAAATATACAGTTTTCAATCCACATGAAGGGTATGAAAAAATATATTTTTTTTAAATTAACAAAATACAACAAACAAGTGTGGAATAATTAGTATGTCTTTGAGATGTTTCAGTGTAAAAGCACAAAACAGGAACTACTCATGTGAAGTACAAATACCTTTCATAAGTTTTTGTAGAGCCAACAAGTATCACCTGTGATTTTATTTACCATCAGTTATTTGAATACATGTTGTCTGGTCCTAGGAAGTGGAGCCAAACTCTCCTGCAGCCATGGCTGGTTTAAGGGCCCACACAGACTACATCATAGGAGCAGACACTGTCATGAACGAGGTACTTTTTAATCAACTACTTTCCTTTGTGTCTTTGATTGTGCAACAAGCTCATCTGCTGTGTTTCTTTGCTGCGTCAACAGAGTGAAGATCTCTTCTCCGTCGTTGAAACCTACGGGGGGAAGGAGTTGAAACTTTACGTTTACAACACAGACACAGACAACTGCCGCGAGGTGGTCATCACGCCTAACTGTGACTGGGGCGGAGAGGGCAGGTATTGCAGTTATCTTTTGCTATCTGGAACATCCTGAAATTTGATCAGATATTGTTTTCCTTCTGTTCGGAAAATGGCAGAACTCAAAGATTAATTTGGCTAAGCAGCATAAGGTACAATAAACCAGATGTTGAAGGTAAATGCAAACACTCTTGAGCTTATAAACCGTTGTTCTACTCTTCCAACTACTCAAAGCACTTTTACACCACAGGTCACACCCACCCATTCACACCCTTTCACACACTGATGGTAGTTATCACTATGTAGTATCATCCATTGTAACTAATCCCATTCATACACTGCCACCAAAGCGGAGGGAGCAATTTAGGTCTTAGGTCTTGCCTAAGGACACATCGGATATGTTGCCCAGCTGGGGATTGAACCCTTGACCTTCTGGTTGAGAGGCGACGACGCCACCAACTGAGCCACAGCTTTTAGGTGAAAATCTAAACCTAATGAACAGACAAATAACTAACCAACAGCTCCAAACACTTACAATCCCAAATGAGATTATTTCAACCATGAATATTTGACCTGGTTAAATGTCAGTAGACGGCCAGGACACTTTAACCTAACTAAATAATTTTTTTAACAAAACTTTAACACCTTTATTATGTTTATGTTTATATTTGGTCTTTAGATTTAGTTAGGTGAGTTGTATAACTCCTTATTCATTATTTAAACACTGTCTGTTTCTATATTTAAAGTGAAAGTATTATTATAGTAATTGACAGAATTATTAAACATTGTTGGTCGTCAACAGGAACAAAAAATAACACTGAAAATTAACAAAGTTACCACAAACAAAAGTTTTGTTTTATGTCATTGCACTTGTCGTTTAAACAACTTTCCTAATTTGAGTTTACTGCAATCACTGTTACATGGAAACCAAAATAAAAGGTGGGCTAAACACTGCTCTGTCTTAGCTTTTAAAAAGAGCAATGTTGTGGAAAACAGTCACTGATTGACAGGATTTGCACCAGATGATTTTATTTTAAAGTATTTTAAATTCATATCTTTCCATTGAAATCTCATTATTAAGGTTGTTTAACATAATCTCTAAGGCTGCTGTGAAATGTTTCCTCACAGTGCCGTTTGGTTTGCCTCTTTTCAGTCTAGGATGTGGGATTGGCTATGGCTACCTGCACAGGATACCTACAGCGCCATTTTCAGAGGGGAAGACGATCAGTTTCCCTTCACAGACTCCCACTTCACCAGCTCCTCCACCTAAAGACGGCTTCACAGAGGTACAGCATCCACATAGAAATGTTTTATGTCATCTGGTCTTTAAGTTGGGAACATTTCCTTCAAGGATGTTTTGCTCAGCAGGTCCACCTGTCTGCTGTCGTTCCAACCACTCCAGTGTCTGTGTCTACTAACTCAACTGGTTTAGAGCAGTCTCTAACTGGATTATCTGTGACCTCTGACCTGACCTCTGTCATTAGCAGTCTACAGACAGGTAAACTATTATCTCTGTATAGCTATGATGTTTTGTATGACATCTCCTTTTAGACAACAAGGACCTGAAAAGAGAGATGTAAAAACCTAGACACACTTTACAAACCGGTTGATCAGATGTGTGTGATATGACTAACAAGAACTGTCAAATTATATTTCAGGAGATCATACTGTCCCAGCGTTCAGTCAAGTCCCCTCATCACAAAGTTTCCCCTCCTCTGTTGACCCTGCGTCCCCACAACAAGGTGAGTAGATATTTAGAGATGTTACAGTTTCCCAGGTGGATGACAATAGACCCAGCAAAATCTAATATTTTATTTATTACACAGGTTTAATGCCCCTACCTGGAGGTATACCAGCCTTTCCTAATTTACACAATCTCAACATGACCTTGCCAGATGTGGGTCATGTATTAACATCTGGAGGGAGTGGATTACAACATGCAGGTATTTTGTTTGTCAGGATTATGCTTGGCTAGTTGTTAATAATCTTAAAGGATTTATTTGATACTTTTTCTACTATCTTTAAATCATAGAAAGACTAAGCATGTATTCATGAAGTGCACTGAAATGTTGTAAGTGCGGCCACATCTTGGTAAAATTAATGTTCTTTTTACCTTTTGTCTCCTTTCTATTATATAACTGAGCCATACTGTTGCACTGAGTAACATATCCGCTCAGGAAGATGTATGTTTGCACCTAAGGTTAACTGACAGCATTCAACATCATACAGCAAAGACATTTAGTGTGAAACTAGGCGCTATTCATCACATCTAACCAATCAACAAAAAAAGCCAGATGAGATAAAGTATGAGATAAAGACTAAGGTGTTGCCAATTTGAAATGTGTAATACTTCTTCAGGTAGTGACTTTAGACACCTTTGGAAAGAGGACAACAGTTTTTGTTTGTATTTTGCTCTTCAGGTCTTCCACCTTTTGCCCTGCCTGGTGGGTTCCCCGGTATAGCACTACCCCCATCTGACTTTATTCATCCCCCCATCACTTCTAATGCTGCTCCTGCTGTCACACAGGATACCACGTCTCCCTCCACCCTCATAATGAACAATTTACTGACTAAAACCCCTATCCCATCTTCAGTGACCACCTGTGAATCCATAAATATCACAATGACTGCAGACTCCTCTTAGCAGTGAAAAACACTTTAAGGTAATCATTAACCATTCAAGTCTTAATTCAATAGAGCCAGTTTATTAGCTGCATGGCTACATTGACACAATTTCCTTTCCTTGTTACCACTTTTGTCAGATTTCCAGTATTTTGAGGTTACAAGAGCTACTTGCTGCTCTTCTCATATGCAGCAACACCAAAGTGTTCACAAGTAATGTGTATCCATATACTGCAGTCCTGCATCTTAAGTGCCGTTTGTTTCAGCAGTTCAAATATACACTTAGTCGCAGAAAAACGTTTAACTGTAAAATATGAGGGGAAGGAGCTTACTTTTAGTGTGCAAGTCTGTATCATTGCTTTTTTTTGTACAGAACCCCTGAAAAGTTATGTAACAAATACTACTACTACTACTACTTTTGCAGATCCTTAAGGTGAGTTTATGTCTTATCATGTTATATCTGACTAACAATTTAGGGCATTATTGCGCAGATATCACTGTGTGGAGAGATGATCTAACACATGTCAAAGTTTTGACAGTATGTTGCCTGTTCTGGTTGAATCTGTTGCTGTGACTGATGCTCACAATAAGGCTGTTTGTAGGAAAGCGGAAAAAAAAAAAGAAAAGCCAGTCACAAATACAAAACCAGAGTAACCTTTTAGGGGCTCTGTAAAATACTTGAGGTCTTTGGGGTTAAAGGGGAAACAACTTATACTACTAGGCCTTTTTTCTCTTCTAAAAGCAGGTTAGCTTGCTGAATTCACTGTACTCATTAAACGGGTAAAAGGGTTTGATTTTGTACAAAAAACATTTGTGAAGTGAAATATCATTGCCTTGATTAAACTAATGTATTTTCTCTAGCTCAGCCTCTGCTTTGTATTTCATTGTTTTATTGTTGTGAACATCCTAAACACTACGTGTAACAATGCAGTACCAAACAAAGCCACTGGGTGTCAGTATTATGTCAGAACATGAAGACAAATACTGGCAGATTGCTTCTATAATTTTCGGTCTTAGCAGGTGGCGAGTATGGATGTTAACTTCAGGATGAAAAGGAAAGTATCGTCTTTTGCACCATTCACTGTGAGAGAAAACTGTTTCCTGGTGTTTATTATTCACTCTTAGCAGAACTGCAGTTTGTACCAGAGGAGGAACACAGCCCTTGAAAAAGTAAGAGCATCAAAGCAGCATAATGAAACGATCCAGGAAACTAGTTTAACATGGGGACATTTTAAACTTTGTACATGGTACTGCTGCAATTTAACTTTGAAAAGTCACCTGTACAGCATATACAGTTTCCAATTTATGTTAATTAATATTCCTGCATAGGATTTTATACATTGTCATTTTTCTACATTTGGTTACTTTGAGCATTAAACGTAAGTATGCTGCCCCACCCTACATCACTAGTTGCCACACATTACATTCTCATGGCTAAGAACCTCAATTTAAAGCCTAACACTTGTGAAAAACAAAACATTTAGCCAAATCAATAGTGAAATCTTTGTAGTTCTATATATCGGCCCTCTCCTCACAGTAAATTAACATCTAGCAGCTGAATCATTTGCACCCTGGCAGGACCATGTTATTTTATCTAAACGGCCGGCTGCCAAGTCTCCCTTCGGCCCTTTAAGGCTTTATCTGTCTGCAACTTCAGAATAGTGTCCAGTTGCATTTTCTTCAAGGTACGTTGTCAGTTTCAGTGCTTTTGTCGGACCCTCAAACGATCCTTTCACCCATGTCCTTTAAAAAAAAAAAAAAAAAAACCTCCCTCTCTCTCTCCATTGATCGAACCTTGTGAATAAGAAGTCTGGCACAAATCAGAGGATGCCGGCAGAGATCTTCCCTTGTGTGTCCTGCTCCTCCTGTTTTTGGCTGCTCCTTCTCCCATGAGCCCGCGGGGCTCAGCAGGCAGAGGGAGACACTTGGTCAGTTTGGCTTTGTTTTTCGTCACAGTACGAGGATGTCAGTATGAGATGATACTGGAGGAGGCGAGTCCTGAGCCAGCAGCACTCATCTGCAGATTTCCAGAGGAGCTAGACCTTCTCATGTGAGGGAGCAGGTAGGGGTCGCTCCCCATTTGGTGCACATCGACCCGGTCCTCCTTCCTGTATGCCAAGCACCGCCTTATGAAGGCCTGTAGGAATGGAGGATTGTTTCAAACATTTGCAGGCCAAACTGATGTGGAAAGGAATTCAGATTTTCTTTCTTTGATACAAAACTTTTCTTTTGCACACAAGTTCACTCACCTTTGCTTCATTACTAGAAACTGGCTTGACTGGGAACTGAACATCGGTAGCTTTCAGTATTGTGTTCTCCTGCAGGATGTCCTGTTGAGACTGATTGTGGCCAAAAGGCTGACAAGAGAGGAGACATGCTTAGTCATAATGCAGTAAAGATAGATTAAAAAAATACTGGGTTAGGATCTGTGTTGCTCTCCTTACCTTCCTTCCATAAAGACACTGAAAAAAGATGACTCCCACAGACCACACGTCCACCTTATTGGAGATCTTTGGAGGTTCTTTTCCAACCACAAAACATTCAGGAGGCAAGTACCTGGTCAGAAGAAAACAAAGTTGTTAATATCCCATTAGAACTACTCAGGTTAAATATCAGACAGATGTATATTTTATGTTACTCTGTACTCGTACTAGAATTCTTTACTCCTGTACCTTATTGAACAAATACCACTAGTTATATTTCATTTACAGGACCATTTTGCATTCTTTCAATACCGCCCATCCCCTTATAGAGCGTCACAGGAACGAGTCCTTAAACCTGGAAGTAAGTTAACATGTTAGCGCCATTAGCTATCGTCTAAAAGTCAATGGGGATTTTGAATGTGTTTGTGGTTAGACGCTTGAAATAAGGTTGTGGTTAACACAAGCTTAAGAGATGTTGGTGTTTTGTTAGACCACATAAACTACGTTAGGTAATACCCCCACTTGTGAAGTTTGAAGTTTTTACTCGTCTTTAAAAAGGCGGTTGCTAACAAGTGGATACATGTGACTACAGTGGTTGTCAGGGACATTAAACGTCATCACGCCGGACACAGAGGGCGGGAACTCTCTCACTAGTCGGAGGTGTCTCTTTAGGTTAAGGTGAATATTATGTTAGTAAACTATTTATTAAGCTACGTGGATTAGTTTATCAGAGATCGTCTGAAGCATAACGCTAGTGACGTCACAATCATCCGACCGTGGTGTAGTTAGCTTTAGCATAACGTTAGCTTTTTACTTCTTTAACGCTTCAAACATCATAAAAATGGTGTTCATCTGTGAAGATTATCCTGCTGAACAAAACGCCTACGCTTCAGAAACGTGCATTAGGCACAGAGCTTATTTTCTGCAATGATCCAAAATCCAATGCCATAGGGGAATTCTCATTAGACCCCATGGCGATGCTACTTCCGGGTTGGCCTACAAAAATATGTCATATGGTTTGTTCTCTATACTGTACATACTAGGGATGCAACAATACAGTCAGCCCACGGTTCAATACATGCCTCGATTTTTTGGTCACGGTTTGGTTCAGTTCTAACGGGCCGGGCCGTTAAAATGTTGTGTTAAGTATTTTAGGCAAATTTTACAGAACATAAAAGGGATTTAGAAAGAGAGCTACTTTTTTTTCCATTTAAAAACTATTTATTTTACTTCGAAGCTAAACAAATTCAGGTGCTCTCCTTTCAGCCTATTGCAAAGTCAGATTTGATTTGAACATGAAGTAATCTACAATTAGCTCAATGAATGTCAACAAAAAAGTGCATTGGTGGCATACTGTTATATTTCTCTTTTAGTTATGATTATCGCTCCTCTCTTATTCTTGTAATGTTCAGTATTGTAAATATTTTGAGTATTAACAGCAGCTCAAACGATTTAAGAACACTTCAAAAGACATCAAACCTCACACTGAAGGTTCAGACGTGGTTTATGACCAGTTTAGAGTTTTTAATAAGAGCAGTGAGGGTGATGCGCAGACGCACAGACAGAGGAGCACTCAGTTGATGTTGACAGACATCAGTTAGTTAAGAGCAAGCAGCCTGCCATGTAGTTCACATACTTCCCTGGTTAACATGTAAACTGTGGAGCAGATGATCAATTTCACTTTTTGTTTCTGTTTTTTCGCCCGTCCACTTATATGCGTAATGGCACGTTCCCCGACTCTCGCTCACCCGTATAGCTCTCTCTCCCTCTCACGTTTGCGGACCCTCAGTTATCTTTTAATGCATGTTTTTGACATAATGAGGGAGAGAGGCTTTCGGAAAAAGGGCGTTTGCGGCCCTTAATATACCTGGTTGAGTGGGAAACACTGAGCAGTACATGTTTTCCAGTCACACATGCTCGCTCCACACTATCAGAAACTGGTTTATAGTGTAACGCTACTTGAGCAATGACTGCAGCCCGTGTGATCTATAGACTGTCACTGTACCGGCCCTGGCGGCCCTTCAGGCAGCCCGGCCCACCAAGAAGTGTCCCGGTTCTCCCAATTAGCCACTCCGGGCCTGGCTGCTCCTCACTGCTCGCCGTGCTAAAAGTAATGTTGTTGTCAGCGTCACCAAAATTTAGCGGGTGGTGATTGGCTAATTACTCAGTTGGCGGCCGAGGTTTCCTCATCCCTGCGCGCTGACTCATAGGCACACACAGACAGAGCGAATTTAGAGAGAAATAAAATGCGCGGAAACTAGTCAAACGTTGAGAATTGTTGCATGCCTAGTACATACTATATACATTTATTTGGGAGTTTGAGAGATGTCATACCAATAGGTCCCTGCACCCTGTGAAGTCAAGTCCATCCCATCTACTCCATAGTTGTCATCATCCATGATTTTGGACAAACCAAAGTCAGTGATTTTGATTTCCCCACAGGCTGTGCCGTCCACCAACAAGATATTGCCTTGAAATCAAAGAAGAGAAAGTCAGCGCGAGACTTTAACACTTAATTGCAACAGTTTTGATATAATGGGGGAAACAGATATTGAAGTGATATTGAATTGACACTTTGTAAGAAGATGTTTTTACCTGGCTTGAGGTCGTAATGGATAATGGGAGGTTTAATTTCATTCAGGTATCTTAGTGCATTCACAATCTGCATAACTATGGACCGTGCCTCCTTCTCAGACATTAGCTTATGCTGCTTCAAGTAGAAATCCAAGTCGTTGCCTTCGCAGTACTCCATGACAGTGCAAAACCTGTTGAGTTAGAAGAAAACACTTTGAATTATGGTCCATAGCTATCATTAACCACCTGAACCTCAAAAGAGCTGAAGCTGCATGAAGAAGGGTTCATCAGAATACTAACGTGTCTGTGTCCAGTGAGAAGTAGTCGTATAGCTTCACAATTCGGGGGTGGTCCAGCTCCTTGTGTATTCTGTACTCTCGACATGCATGCCTGTGGAGAGGAAGGTAATTAGGCCTCTATTAGCAACCCAAGCATGAAGGTGCAGATGCTTAAATTTGCACTGACAGTTCTACGAGGGGGTTTATGGAGAAAAAGAACAACACACTGAAGAAGAGGGACATCAGAATAGCTGGATTAGTATCCTTCAGGTGAGGTTACATATTTAACCATGATTCAACATACTTGTGATAGTTCTCCTTCTTCTCTTCTCGCCAGTTTTTGTTAAGTTGGTGGATCTTCACAGCAGCATATCTTTGCTCAATCAAGTCAAAAGCCTGTGCAACATGAACACAGAGTTGGCATGTATTAAAAAAAGACCCTGACACAAATATGAATTCATTTGGACTCCCTGTAATATTGAAATCAAATGCCATACCTTGTAAACTTCACTGAAGCCTCCTCTTCCTAGAAGGTGTAGGAGTAGATATCGTTCATTCAGTGTTGGATGGTCTTTAAATCTTTGGATGGAAAAAGAGATAAGAAAATCTCAGTAAACAGATTTTACTTTTGCTTCAGCAATACACGACCAATTTAAACAAGAATAAGTAAGCCTAGTGTGTGTTGACTTAATATAACCCCTGCAGTTAAGGATACTGCGCTTGTGTTTACTTTGTAACAGTGTCGATGCAGGAAGTGTCGGAGAAATTGATTCAGACTCACTGTGAGCTGTCCTCGTTATTTATTCTCTTCAGCTCCCGTATGTGAAGGTTGCGCACTCTCTCCAGACGCTCCAGCTCTGCCTGGATCTCAGCTTCTTCCTATAAATGATTCAAGCACACAAACACAAAATTGCACACAAGGATTTCAGAACTTTGGATACAAGGAGAGGAACTCATCAAGCACACAGCTGACTGATCTATATTTAATATTTGCGGTTGACTTGGTACAGATTCTGTCAGGCTCTGCTTGTGATACTTCAAGAAAACAATGAGTACATCAATAAAGTACAGGCTCACAACATCCTGGGGGGGCAGGGTCACACAAAAGGAACAGTGTTTCAGCTTGAGGAGATACAAGAGAATAGTCATTTAATTATCTCACTGATGAAGAGGATTGATTGGTTTACCCCCTCTAACAAGGTTACCATTTTAGTGTATAGGTGCCCTTTTCCCTTTTGTAAACTGAGGCCTGGATACATTGAATGACTTGGGAAAATAATTGCATTCTTAAAAGGTTCTGTGCAGCACAGAAGACATTTTTTTAAGATTTTATTTTAATTTTTTAAAGAAATTTAAAAAAAAAGTTCTAGTATTTTTGCTGCAGGTTGAGCATCGTGCAAACCTTCTTGAGATGTCCAAGTCGCAGTTTGAAGATCTCCTCCTGTTCATGGTACTCTGCTAGTGTCAGCCTTTTTTGGGGGATGAGAGAGATAAAAGAAGTTTGTTGTTAGCCACAGCACCCTCATTATTTTTTCATTGACCAACATATTTTATTATTCACTTCTACAATCCTGTTGAACTTCCCTTACAAAAGAATAAAGATAAAAATAGATTACATTTGACACATTGCCTTAGCTTGAGGATATCTAGAGCGATATCTGTGATTTCCTAAAGGCCTGCACTTACAGCTGAGGTAGGCTGGGTTTTAGAAAGGGATCACTTTCTGCTCCGTTCACTGCCTTGGTTTTGCGTTGCTTTGGTTCTGAATTTGTGGTTGGTGCTTGGGTGTTGCTCGATGATGGGGGTTTCCTCTTGGCTAGAAGTTTTCTCTGCCTCTCGATTTCCTCTCTCTGTTGATTTAGCAATTCTTGCTGTCTGTTCATAGAAAGAGCTTCATGTTAGATAAGAACCATTTCTATATCTCCATTCATCAACACAAAGACAAAGCACACAAAACATGAGAGCCCTAACATTATTTCATCATAGTAGATGAATCCAACATTTGTGCCACAGAAATGTGCTTTTCACTACACAGACTTTAAAATATGAACCATACTTAGCTCATAAGACCCATGTGGGCATCCACATATATACAGTTTGAAATATTGAGTACACTTTAGCAAAGCATCAAAATGAAACATGATATGACTATCTCATTAAAGCCTCATACTTGACAAGGTTTTGGAAGGCATAACCATCAGTCCACTGCTCTGTGAAGGAGGCTCCATGTCTCACTGTAGTGAAATGTCCTAAACGAAGTCTATCCTGCATGCTTTTCTCTCGACAGGCCTGCTTCTCCTGGGTGCTCTAAAGAACAAATCCGAAAACAAAGCCATGCATGTGAGTTTGCAGAAGCAGGTAAATGTGTTCACAAAGGGTTAAGAAAACAAATTCATTTACCTTTTCTATGAGCAACTTCTTGCTCATGGTGATACATTTATTCAAGCGTTCCTTGTACTTTTCAAGTAATTTTTGTTGTTCATCTACCTGTCTCCTGAGATCACAGTTTGCCTATAAAGAAGAAAAAATCTTAATCAGCATCTACACATATTCATTTTTCTCCTGATCCAACAATGAATCAAAACCTTATAAATGATGTTTAGTATTAAATGACTTTGGCAAACATGATCTAATTTGTTTTGCAGTGCAGTAACACAGCTCAGTGAAGTCTTTCTGGAAGGCAGTAAGCAGATACTCTCCTTACCCTTAACAAATCATCTATTCTGCCCTCCTTCTTCTCGAGGTCGAGATTCTTAGTGCTTTCAAGGGCAGCCAATTTCAGAACTGTAAGGTCAGTCTAGAGAAGGAAAAACCAAACACACCAAATGTTGGAGAAAAAAACAACAACTTTAAATCTCAAAACATATTTAAGAGCATCTAAAAAAGAGTGAGTGGGGTCTTAACTATTCAGAGCCCTTCCCCTAACCTGAACAAATTTGACTGCTTGTTGCTTTGGATGCGTCATGTGGTCCCCAAAAGACAGACTAGTAGGAGAGGGACTATTTTGTCTAACCTGGGAAAGAAGGGAGAGAGAGAGCACTTCATTTATTACAGGGCAACAACTAATGGAACACTAACAAAATGTTTTAAAGTTAAAATTTTGCCGTAACTTACAGCTGTGCCCTGAGCGGAGTGGGAATGTGAGTTCTGAGGTGAACGAATCACCGGTGGGAGACCTCTGACGGGACTGGACCCATTTCCTCCCTGGAACTTAAAGTAGGAAAGGAAAAGTGACATCAATGACTATGGTATCAAAACAGTAGACAAAGGGGCTGCCTCACTGTTATTTAGCGGACAGAAGTGAATTATGCTTTACATAGTGGAACAGTAAGACAGAACACATCCCCTACATCTATTACATTCACACCAACACTGCAGACTTACATCAAAATAATCACTTATTTTGGGTCCTCGTACAATTGATTTCCCTGTGAACAGAAAAGAGGGAAACTAGTTAAAAGAAATTCTACAAGACAGAGCTGAAATATTACTAGTTTAACACTGAGACACACCTTGGCTGCTCTCTGATTGGATCTCAGGTTTCCTTTTTCTGCCTCTGGTTTCAGACTGTTTTTTCTCAGGGGTCTGAAAGGAATTGTGTAATTAAAAATGTATCATTGCACTTTCATGGTCAAAGCCTGTGTAGCACTGCCTTTATAGGATAAGTTCTTTACTTACAGAATAAGCAGGAGAGCTGCCTCGTTTCATTTCTGACCCCTATGTAGTAAACAAGACAAAATACCATTACAATTAGACACTTCTTATGTTGTTTGACTGTCATTGTTTTTAACACATTCTAATACGTGTTCCCTTGTCATAGTACTTTTATTTTGTTAGAATGCCAAACTACAAGTCTGATTACAAATTGCCTTTCAGATAACTCGAGAGCATTTACATATGTTCGATGCTACCATGTACTTTTCCAAAAGAGGAAAATAAAGGAGAACTCTGAAAGGATTAGCGAGAAATAATTAGTGATTTACAGATAAAGCTGGGTCGCAATGGCAACAGGCAAAACAAGTTAACCCAGACTTCCTTCTCCCCAGCAACATTTTCCAGCTCCTTCCTTCCTTCCCAGGCCAGATGGGATATACAGTATAATCCCTACAGTTAGCTCTGGGTCTGCTGCCGTCTCTTAAGGCTCAGCCCAGACACCCTCCAGATGAAACTCATTTTGGCCGTTTGTACCCGCAATCTTATTCTTTCAGTCACTACCCACAGCTCATTGTCTGTTGCCACTGCGACCCAACATGGAAAAGCAGAAGAAAATGGATGGATGGATGAACAGATACATTAAAAAAAATAATAATAAGGCAAAACCAAAAATCAAAGTGATCACAATCCTGTATTGTCCTCATAACCTTTGTTTATCACAAACCTCTACGACAGATACCTCTAAATACCTTTTTAAGGTCAATGCAATGAAGTGCTGGTCTAATCTGCATGTCCCTTATGCATCATGAGGAACAGCCTTTTGTATGTATAGCAGTCAGAAAATGCTAACTTATGTGGCCATAAATTGGGAGGAAAAAATATTCTGCACAATGTAACAAAATGTGTTACTGCAGCCTCATACCGCATTCAGACAAACAATAGTACTACAGATATACAAGAAAAGGGGCGGTAGAGGTGTGGGTCTGCTGCTTGAGCTTGCAGAGAGAACATACAATACTCAGTGGGGACATTTAGGTTTGTTGACCATGGTTAACAGTGTTTGGGAAAATAATTAAGTAACACATACCTTTGAAAAGAAGGCTACTTTAAACCATAAGTCTTATTGTCTGCTATTCTTATTATTGCAATGCAAGTAAGGTAATTATCACAGTAAGCATGCAGTTGCCATTGTCACTTATTAATGGGACTTGGCTATTAAGCAATGAGCAAGAATGAGACTGAAATATTAATGCATACATATCTTTCACAATAATCTATTTCTAGAGATGATGTCTGAATATTATAGAACATGTAAATGTAGCGTTTCTCCGTACCTCTGATTCCTTGTCGCTTGAGGATCCGAGGCTCCCGAAACTATGATTTGAACATTCATTATTGGTCAAACCCTGAAAAACAACACACACAAAAAAGGTTTAGGACACCACTAAGAGCAGACACTAAAGAACATATTCTGTTCCAAACAATGATAATTGTTTTCTTCTGCATTGTCAAAGCACATACAACTGCACTGTAAATCCTTGTTTTTAAATAAAGTTATTATTATTATATTCAAGCTTTTACTCACTTTGGTTCCCCCGCTTGTGCTACCTGTGCTGCCCCCTGTGCTGCCACTGACCCCACCCATAAAGCGGGCCTCCAGCAGCTCCTGTCTCCGGGGATCCAGGCTGTTCAGCTCCTCCATGGTGCCTGGGAGGGTTGACAACAATTCAGTGTGTGTTCGTTTTTCAAGGATCAGCTTAATTACATCATCTCAATGCCCACTCAAAAGAAGATGACAGAGTGGCAATGAGCTTGAGAATAGTTTCATGTCCTGACATGTGACATTGAAGACAAGTCTAGAGTAGATGTATGCCTATTCACCAGTGACATGACAGTTTTCACTCTACATTTGTGCAGTATAGAGGAGATAAGCAAGATTTTCATGCATTGATCTTGTTACCACTACCATCTAAATGTAGCAGCTTCATACTACTTCCAAAAAAATATAAAGTCAAAAAATTATTTATTGCTGCCGGGAAGGCAGAAAAGAAGTTCATTAAATGTGGCCTTTCTTTGCAACCAACGCTATTATTCTTTGAGCCTGAGAGCAATGTTTGGACTCCTAGTAGGTACTGATGAATGATGCACTGCTGTGGGACTGTTATGTGAGCTCCCTGGGCTTCAGTGTTGCAGAACAATCAGAGGGGTCTGCTCACTAAACCTGTGCTCGAAAGAGACAACCATTTTGAATCAGCAAAAGGAATTTAACTGAAAAGAATGTCAAATCATGAGATGGTCTTTTTAACAATATAAACAATAAAAATAACAACTATGAATAACACCTAGTTTCCAAATAAGATTCAAATGAAGAATTTGCACCAAATAGATGAACAAACTAACTATTCTCATCCAGTTAAAGCCAGGCATAAATAAACTAATACAGCAGAATATGGTATAAATCTTCACCTCCAACAACTAACTGCAACATACCAGAATGTTTAGAGAAATGCAGATGAAATACACTTTACAGCAAGGTGTGCAGTAAACCAGTATCAATACTGGCTACAGTATTACATTCTGCCTTGACATGGACTTATTGCAATACCATCATCACTGGTTAAATACACACACTGATGTTGTTTATTTTGGTCAGCAGCATTAAACATTTCTCTCTAATTTTGAACAAACTCTGAATAAATGGTTGTAATAGGTTTTTCAGTGCTTTGTAAATTATCTGTGCTGTTTTGATTTCAACCAAACCATAAAATCTTAAAGCATGTAAATTAATGAAGCTAATTAGGGAATTGGTGGTTCCATAGTAATCACAATTTGATTGTAGTGGTCACACGAGACAACACTGATTGCTCAACCTACCATCTACAGTGGCAGGAGTGATTTGTTGCAGACAACGGTTCAGATCGAGTCCCCCAGTCTTCTGCATCTTTTGCTCTGACTCTCAGAGCAGCTGTCTCACACGCTCACTGACCAAAGGGCACCGCTTCCTCCTTGTGTCAGAACAGGTGTCACACCCACTTAACGTTGCTGTTATTTGCTGCAACTAAGAGAGGGGAGAAAACAAGTTTACCTGATTACTATGCCACAATTGACTTTCATTGTAAACATTAACATCAGCTCTGAAATGAGGCAGAGCCCTTTTGTCAAGACGCTGGCTCTGCTCTAGGTGTCAAGAGTGAAACATGCAGAAGACCAGGGGGACTCAAACTGAGATGTTGTCCATCACAAATTACTCTTTTATTTTATCCTTATTAACCCATCACTGTGGCTTGTAGGTTGAGCAATCAGAGTTGCTTCGTGTGTGCACTACAACCATGGGCATGTGTTTTTATATCAATGATGACGGTATGACAAAAAATACATGTGGGGGCAGAACGTAATACCGGTGCTGGTTTACCGCCCACCTCTAAAAGCCATACAGATGATACAAACTTAATGAGAACTGAACACACAGTTAATTTGTAAAAACACAAAATGATTCTGTATTGCATTGCAGGCTTGTTTGAAGGGAAGAAGGAGGGTCGTAGTGTGTGAATATGCCATCATATGGGAGGTCCCTTTTAATACTCTACTGCGATATAATACAGTCACCACAAAATAAAAATCTTGTGTCAAATTGCAACACCACTACTTTACAAACAGGAGAAGGCAAAGCTATTGTATCATCTAATACTAAATACAATCCATATGATTTCAGTTCTCCAGAGATATGACTTATAATGATAAATAAACCTTAAAAGGAAAAATGCTTGTAATAATGTTAATAAAGTCATAAACTATGTTTTACATCAACATCCTTGTTGACATAAAATATAAAACTAAAAATGCATTCATAAAACTTTATCATCTCAAAACACCTTCAATCATTCTTGAACAGGACTGAATTTAAACCAGAGCTGCATTATTAGACAACAACTTTAGCTATTCTTATTACTTAAAATGTAATTCATTGTCCTCTAAATCAGATATATTGCCTACTATTAAGTTATGTATACAATGCCAGGGTTGGCTCACAGGGCCACTTAGTGAATTATTTGATGCCACATGAGAAATGTATCCTAACAGATATGATACAGAAAAGAGCATGGAGTAGGAGAAGGACATTTCCTTAACATCGTCTAGACATAAGTAAAATGTTTGTTTTATGCGAGACAAGTGCAGAAACTATCGCAGCAGCCATGGGTTGGAGTCCAACCTCGGCCCTTTGCTGCATGTCATCCCCCACTCACTCCTCCCAACATTTTCAGTCTCTCTTCAGCTGTCCTATCTAATAAAGGCTAAAATGCCCCCCAAAATATTTTTAAAATAACACACACACACACACAAAGTATCTCAACAATCAATTAATGGCGTCAAAAAAAACCAAAAACTAACCACAAAATTGAACTCGCACTGACCACACACAGACCTCACATGGATCAGAACAACTTAACCAAACTTTGAGCAAACAGCTATATGATGGATTACATAGCAGCAGAGAAGATGACTAAAGTCATGCGTATATTTTGAAAGACTATAAGAGTTAAGATTAAGTTAAGGACTCGGTGGTAACAAACAATGATGCTTGAGAGATTTAACAGCAAAAGAGCAGTAAATTTAACCATAGGATGCATAGTATTTTCAGAAAATTAGAAGGACACATCATTCATGCATGAACCCCACTGTACCTTCACCTCATACAGAGGCTGGTTTGACAACAGTTAAGAACCTTTGCCGCTCTCCTTTACCCGTGACACAAGATCACATAACTATCACTACCTTTCCTAGCATACTCGTGTGGGTTAACATAAAAATGAACAGTACAAATCTGAGTAATAATCATGCAGCAGATCCATCTCCTCTTCCTCAAACCAATTTAGAGACTATGAAGTTGGCTTGTCACATTTCCCATCATGGGTCTGTGACTTCAAATCATATTTGTATTCATTTTGCAGTCATCAGTGTTAATGTAACTATGGTCAACTCAACTATGTTATAGCTTCCAAAATGTAAGGTTAAACTTTTCATGATGTCATTAACTAGCAAAACCACTTGACAAGAAGTATACAGCAGCACTATATTCCCCACATTTCTCCTTGTAATCCCGAGACTAACAAAGACTGGTTTTCTCACCGTCTTTCCACAGTATTTAAATTAATGAAACCATTTCACCTTTCATAGCCTACCTCTTTGACAAAGTACATTTTAAGTAGTGAGTCAATGCCTTGAAACTTCAACATTAACAATGAAAATTCACTACAACCATAGTCTTTATGCAAAGCTTTAGCTTTAAAACAGTCAAGTTTATTTATCTAGCACAATTCAGCAACAAGGCCATTCAAAGTGCTTCACACAAGACACCAAAAGCATCAAGACAAAGGGACAAAGAAACATTACTTCTGTTATATGGACAATATTTATCATGCTCAATAATTTACTTTTTCCACACACAAGTTTATGCCAATTTCCCAAAATGTATACAATATCAGCTAAGTGGTATTTCTCAATGATTTTCCTATGTTTTAAACATGAAGGCCACAGTGTGTGAGTATTATTTATATTCAAGCCCCTGCGAGAACAAGTGGTTGAACCCTTGCAACCCTTGCTGTGGATGTCATTTTAACTCTGTGCTGCTCAGCAGTGACCACCTGTTTATTACAGACACATGTAAAACACATCTCTTACACAAATAACAAGCATTATTTCTACATACACTCACTCACTTGGCAAAGCTTTAAAAAACAACAACATAGACAACAAAGTCTACCCATTGTGTTCAATTTACAAGTGGCATACTGATGTAGACAGCCATCATTGATTAATGTCACACTGGCAATACAAAAAAAATAAGAAGCTATATCAATGTCAAAAGATTTGCAAAAGTCTACCATTATTTAAATATTAGTTGAACAGTCCTGCTTATCCATTCTGTGTTCATACGTATTGCATTAGGTTAGCAAGATAAACATATGAGCACATTTTATTGTGTTATCTTTAGCATCCTGCATGTGTCCTACGATGTATCCTTCATTTAAGTGGGGCATCTAGACTTGCCTTAACACTTCATTCATTACTTAAAGTTAGTAATACTAAAAGGTCAAACAAGGCTACCTACCATCCTGTGCAGTAGCATCAGTAGCTTAGCTTAAAGACCATAACTGCACTTATTACTCTCATGTTTAATACATTTAACGAACCTGATGATGATGAACATTAGTTAAGATAATAATGTTGATATTATTCAGAGAAACACATGAACTCACAAAGGATTGTTAACAATACGTCGCACACCTAACTTCTTCACTGCTTGCTAACAGTCCAGTGATATACCGTTAACCATAAAGGAGCTTGATTCACTCATTCCTGATGTTTTAATACATCTCTCTCTGTGGTGTTTACTTATAACAGCAGCGTGCTTTCAGACAGATGCACCGACTACAGCGGAAACCCTTCAGCTCCATAAAGCTTTATCACCATTATGCATGTATTTATCTTTATGTTACTGCACAGAAACACGGTCCTGTGTCCTCGCTGCTACCAGCTAGCCAAACAGGCTCCATTGACTTTGGATTTGACGGGTTACTGTAACGTTAGCTACCAAGATGTGTTCACTCATTTTAAAACTATTTCCTTTCGCTGTGCACTATAACGACCAAAACGAGCATGCTGAAAACAAATATGCGGTTTAAAATGTTTCACGATACCTTCCTGGGCCTTCACCACCGCCGCGGGATGTTGCTGAAAACACAGTCCGTGTTGGGGACGTGGAGAGCTGGGACCAAAGATGGCGTCCCCTCCAAACTTCCACTACTTTGGACACTCATCAAGCTACTTTTCGTGTGTTGGCACCGCCGCGCACACGGTTTATCTTTCACGTAGACAATGAAATTAACGGACCTACATGCCACAGTTGCTTTGACGTGGGTACAGTAACTTAAACTGTGTCAAAATGTGTAATTGTAATCTGTTTTAGGGCACAAACCTCTTCACACTCCTGACTCCAGAGCCACCTCTCCGTCTTCAAGTGGTCGATATGAAACGTGACGTCATGCATCGTGTGCAAAACTCTTATCGCGATGAAAACATGGAGAAAATATCTTTAACATTATGAACTCAAACTACACAAAGCTTAACCACAGTCTACAAACTATTTAATTAAAAAACAACAAAATTATGAGTGTTGAAATATATATATTTTAATACTTTATTGCAGGCTGTTTTACTTTATTACAAGTTGTCATATTTCATCACAAATTTTGTTCATCCTGGCATATTTTTATATATAATTTTTTAAACATACAAGACATACATGAAATAAAATAAAAATAGATAAAAATCCAAAGAAAAGGTACAAAGAGAGAAAAGATAATTAAATTAAGATTTAGAAAAAAATAATACTAGTAATAAGAAAAAATAATAATAATAAAAAAATTAAAATAAAACCATAAATAGAATGGGGCAGGAAGGGGGGGGGGTTGTTCCTTCACTACTCTCTTAATTTAATATAATTTAATTTACATACCTGTTATTATTCCACTTTATCTGTTTCATTTATCCATTTACTCCAGTAACGCATGAATTCATCTTCTCTGTTTCTTAACCTATATGTAATTCCATTAATTTAATAGTGTTGAAATATTCAGCAGTAGCTTATCTGAGGAAGAGGAACTATAAAAGGTTTGACGTTAAACCTCCCATCAGCATAGACAGCACTAAAACATTAGCTGAACAGTACTAGAAATATGATATCAAACACTCATAGGGACTGTTTTTTCTGCCTCATTTGTTTTTAAGTCCTGCTGATAAAAGGCACACGTCAATGCTTTTTCAGAAAGTTGTGTTATTTATGCTTTCACTGGAAAAGGATCTGAATATTTCTTCTACCAAAAACATCATCTGAGTCATCCCTTTTGTAATATGAAGCCTAATGTCAAGATGACAAAAAGAGACAAATTCTTACCAAAATCATCACAATTTTCTATCTATTCTCTGCTGTATTTTCTGACTGGGACTAAATAATATAATAGTATATAAAAATGATCTAATGAGTATTTTTACTGGAATCGGAATATAAAACCCCATGACACCACAAGTCGGTTTGATAACATGTTTTGTAAGTTTAATGCAAACAATATCCTTTTTGTACAAACACTCTTGGTAAAAAAGAACACCCCAAAAAAACAAAAAGAAAACAGATTTTATGGCTTGATTTCATTAATAAATTAGTTGAATTTATAAAAAGTGTTTGTTAAGATGGTGAAAGGGGATTAAGGTTTAATTTCCTGTACTTGCTCTGCATCCAAACACGGTGCATCACCACTTTCTTTCCTCTGTTCACCTGCAGTCGTCTGTCCTCCAGATTCTGAATTTCCTCCAGTCCAGCTTTGGAAAATAAATCATGAACCTCATCTGCAAAAAATAAATGAAAATGTATTTGTATTTATTACCCTAACAGGTATGAATTTAATATAATCGGTTAACCTATTCCAGAATTTCAAACTCAAAGGATAAATGTAAAAATCCTAATACATCCTGAAACCTCTATGGTAATAACAAAGACAAGACCCAAATTTTCCAAACGGAATAAATGGTCCTGGCAAATTTTTACTCCATGTGGAAGAAAATACTGATTTCAAGTCTCAAAATTACCTTTGCTAAAAAAGTACACACAGGTTCCATCTCCACGTGTGTAGAAATTCTCTGATAGGCAGCGTCCTGATTGAGAGAATAAAAGAAGACACTGAACGATGAAATGTTTGAAACTGTCAAAAACACAACTGCACACACAGTTGGGGATTACAACCAATTATTATAAAACAGATCAAACAGCTGCATTCAGGTGTACATAACGACCTTTCTTAAACCTGAGCTGGGAGAAGTCATATCTCCCGTAGTCACGGAAAAGAAATATCCCTCCATGTTTCAGGTATGATGACAGGCGATTCACCACTCCTTGAATTCTGTCAATGAAATGGAAAAATAATGTTGCATGACAGAATGGAAGCTAATCAAGATCCAAGTAAACATTGACAAAACCAAGATGGAAACACATTTGCGGCCACTAATCAAATATCTAAGAGCTTTACAAGTACCAGTGATAATGTCTTTTATGGCCAAAGCCAAGGTACCAATGTAAGTGTATATAGAGATATATGAATGCATCCATCTTACATCTTCATTTACATGTTGCTTTATGTGATTATGTGGATTTCCTTTCCATTGTTTAGAAACCCATTATTATCATCTCTGTTGGATCATGAGATGAGGACATGCAAAATGGGTAATTATTAGAAATGTACCTTGATATGTGAGCTGGCAGTAGCTCAGTCTGTACAGACTAGGGCTGGAAACATAGAGTCAAGTCCCTGACTGACCAAAGTATGAAAGTTGGTGTGGTTTCTGGAGGGGAGTCCTGCCGATGTGCCCATGAGCAAGGCACTGAACTCCCAAAGGCTAAAATGCCCCCTGTGTGCAGCCCCCTTATTCTGACATCTATCCGTCCATAGGGACAAGTTTGTGTAGGTGTGTGTGTGTGTGTGTGTGTGTGTGTGTGTGTTCAGGCCTCTGAATGTGAGTAGCATGTCTCTCAATAACAAAGTTTCATAATGAGGTATATAATAAAAATATCTGTTTACTCGTTATTAAATAGTTGCACTTTTGACTTTGCTTGTTTGTTCTTAAGCACTGTCCATTGTTCACCTATAGCTCTGAGAACTTTGCCATGGCTTTTCTCTGGTCATTTCCACATTAGTTGTAGTCCTAAACAAACTAGTAGTTCATGACTAAATAAAACCAACTAAGACAGTAAAACAAGTCATGGCTTTGAGTGGATTACTGATCAGAGGTAGATACTGTCGCATAAGTAAAACTTTCAATGCTGGACTCCTAAATTATAACCTAGTATGTTTCTTTATAGTGTGCGTGTACTTTGATTAAATTAATACATCTAATTCCATCCTACATCACTGTCAATATGTTATACTGTGTGTCACATAAAACCACAAGGATTATATCTGGGTTTGGGTAACGACTGACACAGACACATGGGGAAAAAGAAGATTGGGTTACAAAAGTGACAACAGCGTATTTTAAATGGGGTGTGAACGACGGAGGGTCCTGCAGGTGACAAATGGTATGAGGCTCTTCTTTGTCGGGTAACCTTCACCTACCGGTCTGGATGAATGGAGGAGAGGACAAAGACGGCCAGAATAACATCCAGGCTTTGAGGAGGGAAGGGAAAGGAGGCCATCTCCTCACAAATGTCATGGACAAAGGCATGACACATGGAGTCGTCGTACTCTGGATGTTCCTATTAAAAGACAAAATAAAGTTCATTTGTAACTGGTAGCTCAGATACAGATATCATTTACTGCAAAATCTAGTTTCCTTTTTCTCTCATTCTATCACATCTCTATCACACTGAATGTGTCCTCTGTTTTACATTATGTTACTGCTTATCACGTAAGTATTTAAGCACAATTATGTTTCAAAGATATAACATAAATGTGTATCAATAAAATAAAGAGTGCTGTCTCGACCTGCTCTTTTTGTAAAGTTATAACTGCACATGCTTTCTTTATTCCTGAGTCATGTTTGTAGAAATACATTCTCACATGCTACAGGTCATTTCAACTCTTCTGACTTTTGATATTTTGCTTTCATGCACACACTTCAATGAACACAAAGATGTTTTTAAAGATACTTCCAAAACTTAAAACAAAACAATAAATATTCAAATCCTGCACATGGATCTTAAACTGAGAGTAAGCAACTGTCTGTCCTACAACTTCTATGTTGAGTCAATATTCTGGAAGACTTAGAGATAGACACTAACGACAGCTTAACAATGAAGGAATTGAAGCTTTATTTAAGTCGACTATATATTTTAGCACTTAATGCTATGCAGGACTTAATCATAGCTTGATATCAATCAATCTTTATTTGTATAGCGTCAATTCATAACAAATTATCTCCAAACACTTTACAAAAAGCAGGTAAATACCTTTCTTAGTCATTATATGACTGTAAATACCTCCAACAGGTTGTCTGAATGACCACATTGAGTACTTTATGTGTATGGCAGGGTCTTAATATAACCTTGGTTGTTTGTAATTTAAAGTGATATCAGTCAATCTTTGTTTGAAGAAATGTATTGACCCTGATATTCAACTCAAGTCAAACTTTATTACAGACTCAAGGTCTAGATAGAAGACAACCCCGATACACAGAAAGACAGAACAAAACATAGAAATCTACAAAAGCACAAGAAATAGTGCAGTAACAAAAAAAAAAGCTAACCTTGACCAGCTGAATGGCACATGGGGAGAAGTCGCAGCAGTACAAGAAAGCATCTGCATGTCTGTGAAAAATGACAGACAGTGACTCAAACAACTGTGTGATAAAGACCATGTCTTTCACAGACTCAACCTGATGAAGTGTTTGAGCTTGATTTATCACTTCATTTTTCTGAAAGAGATAGAATACAACAAACATGTACTGTACAGCAGTTCTGCTTTGAAGGAGGAAATACAACTTGTTGCGACCTGTATTCAGAATATCTGAAGCTTCAGGTGACTTTTCCAAACTGCAACAACGTTGTTCATATCGTTTTGATGTGTACTTTAAAAGTACACGGAACGTGTGCATGAAAGAATCATGTTATGTTATTAATCTTTAGCCATTAAAAAAATAATAATAATCAAAAAGGACATATTATTAGTGAGTAATATATTTTCGGGATGTTTAGCTGGATGTCACAAAGTGTGCATAAGTGACGTCAGCAGTTATTCAGTGTGTAAGGACATGGGGCAGTAAGGGGAGGGTTGAAGGATCAAATTCCCAAGGAAAAGTTGAAACTTCCACTGGATTTATAAATTAAATTTAAAAAAATAGATAGAAATAAAAATGTTATGTTAAACAATGACAAATTTGGTTGGCAAGTGTTTGATATATTGTAAATGACTCCACGGAAAATTGGCACATGATCAACATTAAACATTTAATTAAAAAATAATTTGTGTAGACATCGGAAATCAATACTCACTTTATGGAATCAAGGATGGGAAATACACTGTTTCCCACTCCACATCCAACCTGGGACAAGAACATATATTTTACTAGAATGTTTGCCAAGTGACACATGGCAAAGCGATTTTGTTAAAGCTGTTTGTAAGACTTTTAATATAGCAACTTGTCATGTGCAATAAACTACGAAACACTTAAAACAATAAACATAATTAAAATCAGTCTAAAAACCTCCAAGATCCTGAAAGATGCATGCCGGCCGGGGAAAAGAGTTTCATTTGTCTCCACAGCTGCTCTCTGACAGGTCTCCTGTGTCCTGTGATGGTTTGAGGAGACTTCATCGTGCTGGTGTCTGGTCTCTGAGTCTGTTCTGGATTCAGTCCTATGTGGATTACCTTCCTGATGATCATCCAAATACCTGTTTGTGATTTCTTCTTTTGAAACTGGAGGAAGCAATTCTGGGAATTCTAAAAACAGCCACTTGCGATCTTTGAAGAACTTATCCTGGTGTGTCTCGTAAAACTTGTCCCAGTAGTGGGACGCCTCTGTAGCAAAGGTACCTGTGGGGAGGGAGATGTCAGCGTATTTCATATATATTTACTTTGACATCCTTATCAAATCTTATTAGAAATAATATTTCACAGTAATATCTTGCCTTGTTCCATTAAAGGAATTTGTTCACAGGAATTTTCTTCTGCCTTCTGCCGTGCATTTTCTTTTTCTTGTTCTGTCCATTGTACATGATCCCTAACATTTTGAGCAATACACAATCAACTGTTGATTCAATCTTAAAAACTGTATCAAATAAAATAAAATAAAATAAAAATCTCTGACATATTGACATTTTAAGTTAAAGCTGGCAAACACCATAGTCTTCTATCCCCACGACATGCACATACACATGGGTGACACGTTAAAGTCGGCACTGACCACATGTTGTGCTTAAAGACGTCATCAGGATTGGTCAGAATCCGTGAACCCAGAGGAGCTGAAGGTCTTCTTCCTGTGCTCTTTAGTCTCAAAGATAATCTGATGAAAACTTTAGCCGGTTTGGCCACAGAGAAGCTCCATAGGTGATGCATCTGAAAAAAGCAAAAGGAAGAGTAAGTACAGCTTATGACCAAGGTACATTTTAACACTCGTTTTTTGTTGGTATAACTGACAAATGCAAAAACCAGAAACATGTCATATTTTCAATTTATGGACAAATAAAATAAGTAAAAGAAAAGAAAATTCAGCTGTGTGTGTATTTATGATCAATTTGTTGTTATTTGTAGGCCTATACTTTTGAAAATACAGTTTGAGCTCTTGATTATTTTTGTTTTGTTTTGGTTGTCCTGTGAACATTTAATGACAACGCTTTCGACAAGAGGGCTCTTGTTTTGAAGGATTAATACTGAGTAAAGATTGTTTATTTTAATCCTTGACTGTGACTGTGTAAATTTTAGGTTTTAAAATGGCTTCTTTCTAATTGTGTGGAACTGTACAAGACTGATTAATGATAGGCTTCAATGATCCTCTTACAACATGACCTCTGATAGGTTGTTCTTGTTTATGATTTCTTTCACTGACGAAGCGACAAAATTAGTTTGAACGAAAAAAGAAGTCTTTATTTTAGGGAACTTCTGACTGCTTTGTAAACAGAAAGACAAAAAAATCATTGACAGGGACACAGGATCAGTGAAATACATGAGATAGTCTGGAACATTGAGAGGAACGCTCCAAACATCTAGTAACCACTGATCTGCTACAAACTCATGATGTCCATCAAACCCACTAAACTAACTTTCTTTTAAATTCTTGTCAGAATCTCAAATAAGCTACACAAAATTAGATGAGAAAATGTGGATAACTTTCTGCAAAATACAAGTGATATATTATGGTAAGTGGTGGAACTGCAGCAATAAATGGTGTTTAGGTTTAGAATTTCATTCCATGTAAACACCAAATAGGAACATTAGCTTCAATAAAAAGCTGAAACGAGCCACAGTGTTAAATCAGATTGTATTTTCAAACCTTCCAGTCACTTATTGTAAATAAAATAGCTCCTGAGGGATGTTTTACACAGACGTGATACATTCATTGCCAACGAAAGGGGGCGCTAAAGTCCCATTGTCGTTGCCGAGTTAGAACAGTAGAAGAAGAAGAAGTAGTAAACACAACACGGGGTAGCGCAGCTAGCATTGGAAGCTAACTTAAGTGATACCGTCCATACCGGTCAAAGCTTAGTATTGTCCATTGACAAACATAATTTCATTTTCTCTTATCATATGATAACTACCAAGTTCATCATATGCATCCAGGCAAGGTACGACTTTGGAAAGAATTACAAGAAGAAGAAAGAAGAAAGAGAGGTGTTTACTCAAGTTAGCTGTTAACTTTTGGTGGATGCTTCAGCTAACCTGAAGAGGAGGTTCAGTGGTGTCGAGAGGATGGAGTTCATAACTACCTTCAACTAGGAAAAGATCCCGGCCTTACCTGGCTCTGTCTGTGGTCCTGGAGTCAGCTCAGGTTGTGGTCGCCTGTCATGGTCCCGGACATCCTCTTGTAGGAACAAGGTCTGTCCAGTGATGGCGCAGTATCAGAGAAAACGACCCGTTAACACGACTGATTGGTTGAGCCGAAGGAGTAGAGGGATCAGAGATGCTGGCACTATCATCAGACACAATATGAAACTCCTAAGAGCTATCCTCCTTCAGGTAATGGGAAGTATTGATTTACATATTGACTGCCAGCTTGTTTTCCATTGTTTCAAAGTCGATATGTTTTAACCAATATGACACATTATTAAATTCTAGGACAACAGGGTTTTTATTAAAGTCTGGAGTAAGACGTCGAAGTCCACAATAATGTATGAGAATGGTAAAATCTACTTTGAGAATTACCAGAACTGCTACAGCTGGTGAGTATCAATTATTAAACCTAAAACTTAAAGCTTGCATTAAAAATAAATACCTCAAACATTTCACAAGATACTAATTTACTTGATAAGTATTGCACATAGTTTGTCTGAAGAAATGCAGCCTCTGCAGTAACTCTGAGATGTGAGCTGGTGCGAGACACATAACATTTGCATATCAAGGTTTAAACATTGTGTTAAACAATAAATTCACTCTCTCTGAAAATTACTTTCATTTACATATTTTGTGACTTGCCAGCTTGACCTAAACTTACAACTACATCAGTATTATCTACCAGGTTGTAAATTTGAGCAATTAAAAAACACAAGCGTTGAGGTCAACATGAACAGATCTTTCAAATGTTAGGATAAAGAAGGATGAAGGTTTTGAATGCAATCCCAACCATCAGTGATTTCATGTTTTTGTGCCAGTGTTCATTCCCAGCCTCATATTCTCTACAAACTTCCCAAGAAGTCTAAATTAGAAAAAATTGAAGATGCCTTGCTGTGTCAGAGCCCGCTTGTGAGTTAAATAAAGCGAATACAAACATCATATATCTATTTGGATGAATGCTAAATTTGAAGTGACATGATTAAACAACCCGGGTTCAGACTGTTGTTTCATTTGATTTGTTAATAGGACAAAACGTTACCTTCCCTCTCTGACCACAAACCCAGCCTCTTGGCTTTGACAGCCAATAACTGGCTGTATCGTCTATCACCTGAAACAGGGGAAGAGCTGCAGAGGGTTTACCTCTCTTCAAAGCATAAGTTCAGGTATTGTCAGCCTCTGATTTCTCTGTTCTTTGAGTGGAAATTATTTCATACATTTTCTGTTTAAGTTCTTTAAAAAAACAAAAAAAAAGATTTATCCGTACTCTATGTTGATGTTTCTTTACAGGTACCTTAGCTGGGATGTTTCTCAAGAAATGTTTTATGTGAAATCTGTTCAGAACAAAGAAACGTCACTGGAACGACAGGTAATGTATTCATTTTTACAAGATGGGGAATTTATTTTTAAGTGACAGAACCCTTTAAGGTGTAGAGCCTGGGATTATACTATACCTGGAACTTCCTGAAGGATCTGCCTTAATGGGCAATCTGGCTTTTCCCTCTGCCGCCCCTTAGGCTGTGGAATGCTCTCCCCGACCATCGAGGGGCACCACAGCCTGTTGAAACTAAAAAAATTAATAAAAGACCCCTCTTTTAAAGAGCCTTTTACTTGATGTTTAAATGCTGTTGTTGTTTTCTACTCCTGTTTTTGATCTGTAGCACTTTGAGATTTGGATAAAATGTAAAGTGTGTTACAAAAATAGAATAATTCATATTATTTTTATAATTCTTTTCATGTATTTCAGTAGGTGTCTTAAATATATAAAGTTAATTAAAACATAAATCTATAAACGTGTTACTGTGGTAATAAAGTGATCAGTAGCTTGTTTGTAACAGGAGATATGGATGGTGTGGAGGAGATATGACAGAATTGTTTTTTCTTTAATTCACAGGCTGGTATAACTCAGAATGTAGTGATGCATCTGGCCATTTTTCATGTTTTCCCCTTGAAAATTGTGGGCATTTTGGAGATCAGCAAAACGGTATTCAGATTACTATTTGTTTTCTTACATTGTGTTCTGTGTTGATGCGTTTTTATAAAGATGAAGAGCTTGTTCTTTCAGGTATTTGGAAGCGGTGTCACAGATGTCTTCCTCTCTCAGGGTGTCCTCGTGGTGTCGCACAGCAATAAGTCAGTGAAGCTGTACAGCTTTGAGCACATCCTCAAAAAGGTTTGTGAAGTTTTATCCCAAAAGAGTTTTCTGCATTTTGTTGAACAAGCTGCATATTTTTGTCAAAGCTAGTGAAGGCTGCATCAAAGAAACATTTAGACCAGGAAGATTAGATTTTGGTCCCCCAAAGACCCCTGATTCACATTGAGTGTTCACAAGTATGCAGGCAGACAGGCAGATGAGCATCCAATCATAACAGGTTTGTTTAAATAAATGGTAGAATAGCCTGTTAAGCATCACTGGACAGCAACAGATGCCATATTTTTGTCTTTCTTTTTTGACAGTGCTTTTGATTTATTAATTGGTGTTAAAATAAAAAGAGGATTTCAACACTCGTATAAAGTACCTCTAAAACTATCAGACCCCCTCCCCCCCAGCTTTGAATCAGATAAAGATTGCTGTTTCATTTACTGATTTTGATGTACATGTTTTATTTACATATTCAGCGTAGTTTCACCCTCATCTTGCTGTGTTTGATGATTATTTTCTTTGTATTCAGCACTTGACAGAGAAGATAACTCTTGGAAAGCAGAGTTCCCTTCTAGGAGGAAAAACAGTGGGAGAAGCTCCGTTTGGTATTCCAGTAAATATCCAGATCACAGGTGGGTGTGTTTTTATTTCCAAACCTGTGATCTGTTGGTGTTAAATGTTGTTGTAGGCTTCTTGGACAACAGCACTAATGATTTTCTTGCCCAACGTTAACATGATAGTTATCATTTCACAGATTGCCCACCCGTGCTTTTTGAGATGTCATGCTCTAATAATGCTATCCAGATAGGGGGTTACCCATGGCACTACATCTACACACCACCACATAAACGTCACAATGGGACTCACCACATCTGTTCACTCAAGGACAGCTCTCTGGTAGGTTCAAGGACCTACACTACACACTATGACCTCATATTTCATCTATGGTAGGGTAAGTACAACATTAAGCCTTCACCTGGCTCTTAGTGTTAAATATACCAAATCTTGTTTGGTTGTGGACTAAACTGCCACCAAAATGTCCAGAGCCTGTTGAAACCATCTGACTAAAGAAGGTCACAGATGTTTGTAACAGTCTTTGTATTCAGCTGCTGAAAAGAGGTGTGTGTGTGTGTGTGTGTGTGTGTGTGTGTGTGTGTGTGTGTGTGTGTGTGTGTGTGTGTGTGTGTGTGTGTGTGTGTGTGTGTGTGTGTGTGTGTGTGTGTGTGTGTGTGTGTGTGTGTGTGTGTGTGTGTGTGTGTGTGTGTGTGTGTGTGTGTGTGTGTGTGTGTGTGTGTGTGTGTGTGTGTGTGTGTGTGTGTGTGTGTGTGTGTGTGGAAACCACTGTTTGTTTTTTGTCTGTACTATGTGGTGTCCTTTCACTCTGTAAAAATAATGCATAGCTTGTTGTGAAAGAAAAACAACACCATCATACACACATGACACATCATAGTGACTAGATAATTAAACCTGTCCTCAACCCAAAACAAACAGCACTATCACTGTCAGCTCTAAAGCTGCACCGAATGGAGAGTGTCTGAAAACCAGTTAGTTTGATGCGTACCCAACTTTTACAGCTTGGGTAGAATATCGTTTTCTATATTGAGGCCTGCCTTTTCCAAAATAGTGTCTGTGATTGTTTTCAGACTGCGAAGCACAAACACAGTTACACAACACATATAAGCACACACTGGAACATGTGTCCTGCTTTAAGAGCTCCTGGAAAACATTGTGATTTTATGACTTTAGGCAACAAATGGAATTCAAAACATGAACTGCTGCTCTCTAGAAAGGGATGGGATCTTCTTCCACCCTGATGACTCAGGACGAATTATTCATCTGGGACCAACTAACATAAAGTGAGTTAGAACCATCAACTTTCTGTTTGGTTTTTGTTTGTGTTGTTTTTTTTTACTAAATGACTGTACACGTTTTTTTTGTTGTAAAAAGCAGTGCTCCTCGTTTACAGTAGAAGTAATGGATCCTATGATAACAGAAAAATACAGAGGTGATTTGCATTGACACAGACCCATGCAGGAGCACCAGCACGTTGGTTTAAGTGATCATTTTATAGATAGATAGATACTTTATTGATCCCGAGGGAAATTCAAAGCATCCCGTAGCAGGTTACAAAGACATACATGACATGAAACATTTGTTACAAATTAAACCACAAAACCCCTACATGAATCAAAACTTAAACTGTGCAATTAAAAATAGATTTATACAAGAAATGTACATAACCCGTGCAGGGATAAAATATATGTGAAATTTAAACAAGAACCTATAAACTGTAAAAATCTGTAATTAGACCTGAATATAAAAAATAAAAAAGTGTTGACCTTCTGTTGTGTTGTTTATATATGTACAGCAATGTTTAATAAGAAGATAGTGCAAAGATTGTTTGTGCGATTTAAATAATTGTGAGGTTAGCATTGAAGTTTATATAAACAGTAGAGGAAAAGAGTCGTTGTATGAAAGGGATTAAAGCGGTCTGTCTGCCAGTGATTGTAGAAACATGATAAATATGCTTCCTATAGTAAAACATAAGAATCATGTAGACTGATGGAAATAAAAATGAACAGTTGCAGCTTTGTATAAAACTTGACAAACAGCCAGTAACATGTGCTGGGAAGGCAAATATACCAAAAGACAAGATTCCTGAGACGTTTGTGTTGAATAAAGAATTAGGCCTCAGAATTTGGTGTTCATTTACTTCTAGCACAAAAATCAACAGTATCACAGTATCTTGTTCTCTGGTAATGCATACAGTCTGATACATTTCTTATGTTATTATTCTTGATTTTCTTTTCTTTTAGTGTCCTTAAGATCCTGGGTGAACTGAACAGTGGTTTGCCATCAAAGGTTAATATTGATTTCTCTATGGAAACCCATCGAAACAACCGTGTAAGT